TTGCCCAGCGAATGGTCCTCCCAATCAGAAGGGCCAACCAGAATCTAAATTTACAATACCAAATACAGAACAACAGAAAATCACAGATTGTAAATATCAAATAAAATTGGATCATGGGATTTGGGTAATCAGAGAAACATAATTTAAGGTAAATATTTGGGATTAAATTCAAATTATCCTAAAATTCCAGATTAAAGTCAACAAACCCAGATTGCAAATACAACGTAAAATTAGATTCTGGAATCTGGGTAATCAGAGAAACAAGATTTAAGGCAAAGATCTGGAGTAAATTTGAAAATTTTCAACCGAACAGTGACTGAAATCAGTAGAGAAATCTCCAAAGATTTCAAATTTATCCTCAAATTCTAAGATTAAATTAAATATAATAAAACTTCAATCCCATAAGAAACGCAGAGAAATTTTACCTTCCAATTGGAGAAGTGAGAGTCGTGTTTGGTGCGCTTGCAATCTTCCCTCTTCAACCTTGACACGGCAACGGTCGAATTGCCGGCTACCATTTGAGGCTCCGTGTCCCCTTTTCAGAAAGAAGACGACCGTTAAATCAGCGCTGAGATTATTGCCTCACAAAAATACCATTTTGTCCATATAAAATGGAAAATAAAAAAACCGGCCCGCCTAAACTGGGCCCATACTCCTTATGACTATTTACTCTTAACAAAATAAAAATAAGAAAATACCAAAACCACCCCTTAGTTCAAAAAATATTTAGAGAGAAAACAATCTAATAGAATATGAGTAAATTAGTCAAACTAAGCAAAAATCAATCCTTCAATATCACAGTCTATGTCATGAGAGATTTTTTCAGTGTGTTGAAAATACGGCCCATTGAAAAAAAAATTCTTTGTCGTAGACTAAGAAAAACCAATGAGAAACGTATATGAAAAAGTTAACTTAGAATGAAGATAATAATTTTGAACCTCGTATTTGCATTCTAATTTGACTATTTTATCTTTTTATACATTTAAAAGAAAGAGTGTAAGAGATTGAAAGATTAGTGTGAAAATCATAAGATCAAACACTTTGACATGATAAAATTAGGGGTGGGCACTTGGAATCGAAAACCGAAACCGAAATACGAATCGAATCAAACCGCACCATACGATTTGATTTTGCGGTTTTGAAACGGTTTCGGTTTCAAAACCGAACCGCGGCACACAAAACGGTTTGGTTTCGGTTTTAGGTTTTCAAAACCGCACCGAAACCGAAACTGCACCATATAATAAATAAATGTTATATAACTTATATTTTCAACTTTTCAACTAGGTTATAACTTATAGGTTTGGTGCTGTTTTTTTATGCAGTTTTGCTGCATTATTTTTGGGTTCAATTTTGTGCAGTTTTGGTCCAGTTTTGTGCTGTTTTAGTGCTGTTTTTTATGCAGTTTTGCTGCATTTTTTGGGTGCAGTTTTGGTGCTGTTTTGGTGTTGTTTTTTATGCAGTTTTGCTGCATTTTTTTTTTGCAGTTTTGACTCTTTTTTGCTGCAATTTTACTGCATATTTATTAATTAATATACGAGGAAAATAAGACCGTCTTATGCATAAATAAGTGTGTATATTTTTTTTTCAAAAACCAAACCGAAACCGTTTGAAACCGCACCGCACCGAACCAACGGTTTGGTTTCATTTCGGTTTTGGCTTCAAAACCGCACCGCACCCCACCGCAAAATGTTTCGGTTTCGATTGTGGTTTCACTCGAAACCGCACCAAACCGCACCGCGCCCACCCCTAGATAAAATACCTTGCTTGGAGCCCTAAATTCAACTTAAAATAATGGTCAGCAAAGAAATAGGAATATGATTCTGATCAATGAGAGCATCTTTATAAATTAATCATGCACGTTGGAGATCAGATCTTACAGCAAAAGCTTTTGCATATATCATCATGCACTAGCTAGTTGTACTAAGTAATTGTGAAATTCAGTGCAGAGTCTTCATTCACTAATCATGAAGCTGAAGTTTTGGCCTAGGTTAATAGATTGTCTTGAAAGACATTTCACGAGCACGTTTGAGTTTAGTCAAGTTAATTAATTAAGTCGTGTACTTTATTCTCTGTACTGAAGTTTAAATTTCTTTTCTTGTAGTTTAGATAAATTTAACGTAATTATCTTATCGTAATCTCATGACATCTATATATCTCAAGACAAAAGTTGCAATCATGCAATCATGCATGTTATTGCTTCCTCGATATCGATCGTTTTCTCTCGTCATGGCCAACTTTATCAAGCTAAAGTTAACGCACCAAAACTTTGCATATTGAAAACTCCTTTGGTTAAAGGGAAAAGCAAGTCGACTCAGACTTTAATTAAATTTAAGATTCCAAGTCTATAAAGTTCATCATTTGTCAATTGTTTACCTGCCTAAGATGCCCTACATTTTCCTTTCTGGAGAAAGAATACAATATAAGCCAACTTTTGAGATACTTACCAACTTATACGATAGTATTTTATTCGTTTCATGTCATTTAGTGCGTTAATCGCGCAATGGCCCTTCACTACAGCACGTCCGCAACCACAACTTCACATCCATGGATGCAGAGGCAAAATCGAACAAAGAAGACTTGGAGCAATGAAATCGAATTCAAAAGCAACTTATCACTGTAGCTGACATTTTCTGATAAAATCCTCCTGGTAAGAGGAACTTAGCAAAGGTAGACTCAGCATTTGGCTCACCCGCAAAAATGAATTTTATTTTAAAGAGCACTTGCCACACTCGCTGAGCCGGAAAATTTCAATTTTGATCATTTGTCATGGATGGAAAAGGAAATTCTAATGAGACAGGCGTTCAAAAAGGTTATCGAGATTATCGGTCTTTAAGTTTCATTGATATTTTCACATCAGCTGGTGACCAAAATTCGGTATAAAATAAGTTGATGTTATAGTAACATTGGTGAATGTTGTAGATTATGATCAAAAGTAATAACTTCAAGATGTTTTAACTTTTGATAAAGAAGCCTACATAAAATGTGCCCATGTTTTCCATGCATGTATGAATACTACATTAAAGAAAACTAAAACAAGTCTTTTATTTTTGACTTGAAGAAAACGAAGGCACTGGAAACATGTTATCTCTAAGGTCCTAATCTTTGAAGAAACTCTATGGGGAGAGGAGACATCTTTTAAGATGTCCCTCCAATGTTTAACCCATTAGGGTTTGAGTGTGTGGTCCTATCCCTATAAGCTTAAGTTTGCACTATCACATGCAATATAACCACACAAAAAAAAATGATGTTTGTACCATATTTGATCAATCCCGAAACTACTGAGCACCGGTCAACGTTGTACCGTCAAGGACCTAGAAGAGTTTCCCTTCAACCAGAAGGCCAATCATAGCGCGACATGTGTCGACATCAGAAGCCAATCATAACGCGACATGTGTCAACATCAGAAGTCAATCACAACACGACACGTGTCAATGTCAGAATGAAACTAGAAACTCTCTTATATAAATAGAGATCATTCTCTCACAATATTTCTTAATGTCATTTGTACTAAATCATTCACTTGTACTCACTAAAGGAGAGCTTGAACCTATGTACTTGTGTAAACCCTTCACAATTAATGAGAACTCCTCTACTCCGTAGACGTAGCCAATCTGAGTGAACCACGTACATCTTGTGTTTGCTTCCATGTCCCTATTTATTTACATACTTATCCACACTAGTGACCGGAACAATCTAGCGAAGGTCACAAACTTAACACTTTATGTTGTACCAAAGTCCTCACTAATTTTGTGCATCAACAAATGAAAATAAAAATACAATTAATATGATAGTTAATTAAAGTTTTTAATGAGGTTTGGATGATTAACAACTTGTATAGTGTTACGGGAATATCTTTACTCATTACTCTCAAGTGATGGTGAGCATCAAGTGATGGTGATGATCACTGTTTGTACCATATTTGACCAATCCCGAAACTATTGAGCACCGGTCAACGTTATACCGTCAAGGACCCAGAAGAGTTTCCCTCCAACCAGGAGGCCAATCACAGTACGACACGTGTCCACATCAGAAGCCAATCACAGGGCGACACGTGTCAACATCAGAAGCCAATCACAACACGACACATGTTAATGTCAGAACAAAACGAGAAACTCTTCTATAAAAGGAGATCATTCTCCCACAATATTTCCTAATATCATTTGTACTAAATCATTCACTTGTACTCACTAAATGAGAGCTTGAACCTATGTACTTGTGTAAATCCTTCACAATTAATGAGAACTTCTCTACTCCGTGGACGTAGCTAGTCTGGGTGAACCACATACATCTTGTGTTTGCTTCCCTATCTCTATCCATTTACATACTTTTACATACTTATACATACTAGTGACCGGAGCAATCTAGCGAAGGTCACAAACTTAACACTTTCTGTTGTACCAAAATCCTCATTGATTTTGTGCATCAACAATCACCATTCCATTTATTATTGTTAGATGAGTTTAAATTTCACCACTTTATTTATCATCGTTTAATGAGTTTAAATTTGAAGATCTGTGTAGTGGATAGACACAAATCTCAAAATTTAAACTCATAAAATAGTAATAAGTAGAGTGGTGAATATTACCACCATTGAAGAGTGCTGAGCAAAAATGCCCCCTGATATTACAAATCATCGACACCTCATATCCCTAGTTACGAGGTTAGGTGATAATAAGGAACATTATTCAAACAATAAATCAAATGATTACAACTAACTAAGCACTTTCTCATATAACTTCTTACTAGAGAATAGGACATAGAAATTATTTTCAAAGAGTGGTTAGAGAGTGCAAGAAAGAGAAGCTCCACTCCATCTCCATCTCCACCCCAATCATTGATGTATGTACTATTTAAGATCTCTTGTCTTACATATTTATAAACCAGTCATTGTCGTTTAACCTAAAACCTAATCTTTCCCTTTGTCGTTTTACATGCTTTATCCTTGGCGCTTCTTTCTCACAATTATGCAAAGTCTGAGTAGGAATCTATCAACATAGAAGTCCAACTTAGGCCACCTGCTTCTCCCTCTCTCTCTCTCTCTCTCCCTCCATCCGCGGCTTAATCAAAATTCATGCAAAAATATAAAACATAAAAAATAAAAATAAAAATCCAAACTTTTTTGTTTGAGAAATATATTTGCTCTGTTTTTGCAATAATCCCAAAGCTCGTGGCTTTAACGGCAGATTGAGTCGGTGTGTTGTTAAAGTACACATTGAAGACAGTGCGCGTAGGCTTCCCTACTTTCATGCTTCTGTTGTGCGCCTGCTTTTTTTTTCTCATCTGGGTAAAGGCTCGAAAAGTTGATTCATTTGGTTTCTGTGCCTGTCATGATATAATCGTTTCTGCTTTTCCCACAGTGATTAATTCGTGTTTCTGCTTCTGGGTTTTGTTTCTTGTGAACTGGACGGCGTGTGAGGGGTAATTTGGATGTGGGTTTCGATTGTTGGGGTGTAGTATTTCAGATTTTTCTCCTTATTCCCATAGTGAATCATACATGCCTGTTCTGCTTCTGGGTTTGGCTTTTCTTTATGAACTGTACGGCTTATGAGGGAGAATTTGGGTGTGGGTCTTGATTTTGGGGTGTGTTGAGTTAGTGTTGGGATGCAAAATTTCATAATTTCTGCTTATTCCCAGAGTGATTTATGCATGCTTTTCTGCTTCTGTGTTTGGCTTTTTTTATGAACTGTACGGTCTGTGATGGAGAATCTGGATGAGGGTTTTGATTGTGGGGTGTGTTGAGGAATTGTGGGGCTGTTAAATTTCAGAATTTCTGGGTGTGCTGAGTTATGAAAGAGCAGGGTGATGGGAAAGTTGTGGTGGTGGCTGTGAAAGCATTGAAGGAAATTCCAAGGACTGCTCTGGTGTGGGCTTTGACTCATGTTGTGCAGCCTGGTGATTATGTCAAGCTTTTGGCTGTCATTCCTTCTCACTCAAGTAAGTAATCTTCCTTTTCTTTCGATCGAAGAAATTGCACTTCTGGGTTAGGCCAGTTGGTCAAGGCAGTATGCCCGTCCCTTGCGCCAAGTCCGGATCCCCCTCCCCATTAGATTGACGAGCAAACTATTTAGTGTGGCATGTCTAAGATTGGTGTTCTAATTATTTTTATGACATAATCTTTTTCTCCTATGACTGTAAGAAGTTCGATCTTTAGGGAAATTTCTAGTGAATTGGAAATATGTTATGGTTAACACTTCCTCTGGATTTGTCTATTGGGTACTAATTTTGATAGAGGTGTTTCACAAATTCGAAGCTTTGATATCGGTTCCAAAACCAAGTTGACTTATGCATGACATGTCTGATTTTTGTTTGGTAAATTTTTACTCCTTGTTTTGTGCTCGAGTTTATATCAATGCGGCCAGAGTTGATGGTTGTTGAAAACATCATCTGTCTAGGTAAAAGGATATGGGATTTTGCAAGATTTACCAACGATTGCACCACGAGTCACCGGAGGTCTCTCTCAGGAACCATGTTAGATAACAAGGATGACATTGTGGACTCATGCTCTCAGATGATGCTGCAACTCCGAGATGTTTATGATCCAGAGAAAGTCAGTGCATCAATGTCGTTTCGCTCCCAATTTTTAGTCCTAACATGCTTTACAACTAATACTAATCTATGTCCATATTTTTCTTCACAGATAAAGGTCCGGATAAAGATTGTCTCTGGCTCACCGTGTGGTGTTGTGGCTTCCGAATCAAAGAAAGCTCATTCAAACTGGGTTATATTGGACAAGTAATACATTTAATGTAACCTTAATTTCTACTATTAAGTGCTATAGCACAGCGTTAATCTTCATTCCCTTACTTCCGGTTCAAGTAATCAATCGTATTACAAACTTGTGCAGAAGATTGAAATGTGAAAAGAAACACTGCTTGGAGAACCTGCAATGCAATGTCGTGGTTATGAAACGATCTGGGCCAAGGGTTCTTCAGTTGAATTTGGTTAATTCTCCAAAGACGGTATGTGAAGTGCCTCTTTGTTCAGAATCTTATTCAGAACGTACGAATAGCCAGTTTGAAGAGTGGAATATGATTAGAGGGCCGTGTGTGACTCCAACTAGTAGTTTTGACCGTGAGTCACCTCTGAGTGCTACGGATATTGGAACATCATCTGTATCAAGCTCAGATGTAGGGACTGAATCGTGCTGGAATTCTGGAATTTTGGGGAGGTTAAAGCAAGAGTATCAGAACGCGAATGGTTCTGACAATGAGGCAAACAATGAAAACCGGATTTCTTATCACACAAGCTCATATTACCAGCCATGGATGACAACAGAGTACCTAAGTTCCGGTGGTGAATTTTCAAGATATGTGGCAGAAGTTTCAGAGAGACATTACGATAAGGCTTTGATTTCAACATATGGAACCTTGCTGGATAAATTAGCCAACTTAAATCGAGAACCTGATGTTGAAGTGTTGAATTATAGGCTTGATTTGAACTTAAGCAGGAGTGTACGTGAATCAATCTCACGCAGAAGTGTACGTGAAGCAGTCTCGGTATCCAGGCCCTTACCTCCCAACCCTCCTCCATTGTGTTCGATATGTCAGCACAAGGCACCTGCATTTGGAAATCCACCTAAGTGGTTCACTTACGCCGAGCTGGAACTTGCTACAGGTGGATTTTCAGAAGCAAATTTCTTGGCTGAAGGTGGATATGGCTCCGTACACAAAGGCGTCTTACCACATGGTCAGGTTGTTGCTGTCAAGCAACATAAATTGGCTAGTTCTCAAGGTGATCAGGAATTCTGCTCAGAAGTTGAGGTCTTAAGCTGTGCGCAGCATCGTAATGTCGTAATGCTGATCGGATTCTGTGTGGAGAATGGCAAAAGGTTGCTAGTTTACGAATATATCTGCAATGGATCTTTGGATTCTCATCTATATGGTATGTTCAACATTCCTTTTTTCAAAACAGCGGATATAAAACCGCGAGCACTCTTTTTAGAAATTTGTTTTGCTTTTACTTCTGAGACCAACCTAATAAAGGGGAATGCTAAAAAGTTTCAGGGAAAGACAGAAGCCCGTTAAAATGGTTTGCACGACAAAGAATTGCAGTTGGAGCTGCTCGAGGGTTGCGATACCTTCACGAAGAGTGTAGAGTGGGTTGCATTGTCCACCGCGATATGAGGCCAAACAATATCCTTCTGACCCATGATTTTGAACCATTGGTAGGTCATCCTCTCCTCTTCACTTATAAACACATTTTAAGTACTCTTTCACCAGTCTTACGTTTTCCTTGATGAATTGCACCGCGTATGAGTGTTTGTGTAAAATGCATCACTTGGAGTAAAACCATCTGACTTCTGGATTTCAGGTCGGAGATTTTGGACTCGCACGGTGGCAACCAGATGGAGACATTGGGATGCAAACAAGAATACTTGGAAGATTCGGGTAAGCCCACACGACTTGAGAGCTCTTAACCATATCAAATTACCAATGGATAAATTTTGACTAAACCAGAAACCTTGTGTTAATGTAGTTACTTGGCTCCAGAATATGCTCAAAGTGGACAAATCACAGAAAAAGCTGATGTGTATTCCTTCGGAGTAGTATTAGTAGAGCTCGTTACAGGACGGAAAGCTATGGACTTAAACCGCCCGAGAGGCCAACAGTCCCTCACTGAATGGGTATGTATGAGTAAAACAACTCTAAATTGATATTGCTGATGAGTTATCTTCTACTACATATTGGCCATTGCTTACACTCACTTCTGTGGAGCAGGCACGCCCCCTGCTAAAAAAGAACGCCACTTTTGAACTGTTAGACCCGCTGTTAAGGAACTGCTATTCGAAGCAACAGGTTAGCAACATGATGGAATGTGCTTCCTTGTGCATCAGGCGAGACCCTCGTTCGAGGCCTCGGATGTCTGAGGTATGTGTTGATGTCAAGTTACTCTCTCACTGCAGAAAGGTTAACCGTGATCTCTTTGTGAACTTATATCTTGTCTATTTTGTTTCCCGCAGGTGCTTCGGATTTTGGAAAGCGATGACATTCCTGCGAATTCGACGAATCGTTCTTGCTTGAAGGAGGCCTTGTGAGGACAATCTGCAGACATCCCACCGGCTACCTATAAATTTTTGTGTCTAACAAATAATAAATAGCATAGTTAGTTCTTGTTGTAGTTAGTTGTAAGAGAGATAGATATGCCTGTAATCTACCTGTAATCTATGTTGAATATGTAGACAAACTGTAGACAAATGGCATCTTCATGTTACTAATTATCATCTCCTGAGTAAATGTCCTTTTGTGCAAGATTTTGATATAATGTGCTTTTGTACTGTCATTTAGGAGTAAGATATCGCGATATTTTATCGGATTTCTCCATAACGATATACTTGCCATATAATTTATTGAAGAGTAATGCTCGGAAGACCACATAAGTTGACCTTATTATATAGCAAAGTGTCTAATCGGAATAGTTTTGTGTATAACTAAAACATTGTCAGTCTGTCACATGGCGACATACTTATACTCAGGATTAACATATTATGGTTACTTTGAAAATTTGCCACTTTACTTGTTGCACAAATTCTGGCTAGGCTCGGAGGGTGTGCGAGCCCTGTGACCATACAAAGCCCTTATAGGAGTTGATCAGGTTAGTGTTTTGACCCGTTGTGCATAAATCGGTCGATCTGTAAATTAGAATAATTTAGAATTTTGTCCTTTAGACAAAAGAAATAAAAATAAAAATTTGTAAAAAAAAAAGAAAAAAAAAAGAAGTTGAGAAGAGTTTGAGTGAGATTGGTCAAACTATTGGAGATAATTGGTAAATTTGGGCCTACAAAGTGAGAACAGCTATAAAGGGCTGAAAGGAAAACGTACGAGTCTGAGTGAGGCCACGGGACGAACACCATGCGTGCGTTGGTAAAAGTTGGCGGCAAACGCTTAAGCTCTGCGCTGAGCAGCCTCAGCTCGCCGTCCCTACTCCGCTTATTCAGCACCCTTAACTCCGGCTCCGTTCATCCCACGGCAATCGTTCACCCCAATGCCGTTTTGGGTCAGGTAACTCTCTTCGCTCTACATCCCAGTATTCAACTAAATTAGCTACTTTTAGTGACGAAACTCATAGCGTCGATGGCTTTTGTGTTTCTGCGATCAGGGTGTTTCAATTGGGCCCTTTTGTACTGTTGGGTCGTCGGCGAAGGTTGGCAATGGCTGCAGATTGTACCCCGGAAGCCATGTTTTTGGAAATACAGAAGTTGGGGAGCGTTGTGTTTTGATGACGTGAGTTTTGAATATATATATATATATATATATATATATATATATATATGTATGTATGTATGTATGTATATGTATATGTATATATCTATGTATACATTGTTGATAGCTTGCTAAAGTTTTAATTTTGATGTCAAAGTCTTTTCATTGTTGTGCAAAAATTGTCAGGCAGTGGTGCCATTGTTAGAGATGATCTTCCGGGGCGTACCGTGCTCGGATGTGATAATGTTATTGGGCACCATGCTGTGGTTGGTGTCAAATGCCAAGACTTGAAGTACAAGGTCAATTTCGATATGTTAACGAATTCACTACAATACTCAAAATTTTAATACCAAGTTCACTAGTTTGTGTTTGTTTTGTGATTTAGTCAGGGGATGAATGTTTCCTTGATGTTGGAGACAACAATGACATCAGAGAGTGTACTTCAATCCACCGGTCTTCGAAGTCAACTGATACAACTGTATCTGGATTGCTCATTGCTTTTCTTTCATACTTGTGTTTTAAGTTTTCATGCTCTCATTGTTGTTATGTGATCAGGCTATTGGGAATAACAATCTTATCATGGGATCTTGTCATATTGCCCACGATTGCAAGATCGGAAACAACATCATTTTTGCAAATAATACATTGCTAGCAGGCTTTGTTGAGGTGGAAGTAAGCCCTTGCGCTTTCTTTGGATTATGAAATTTCAAATTTCCGGATATTGGCTGATTTGTCATAGAAAGATATGTTCTTTTGATCGAAGAAATATACTTGATACACAGATTACATATGATATCATACGTTGTATTTTTTTGTGGAATCCACAATGTTATATTGTGTCTTGCATTTCAGACTCCTTATCTTCGACATCAAATGTATAGTCTGTTTTGCATACTTCAGTTAAAGAATATGTTACTTCGATCCTACATGCAGTACCTGATATTTAGTTGCATTTCAAATGTAGGATTATGCTCACACTGCAGGGGCTGTTGTAGTTCATCAATTCTGCCATGTTGGCTCTTTCTCATTCATTGGCGGTGGCTCTGTGGTATGACAGTCTTACTTTTACCATCTTTATGCAACGTGGAGACTTGAACTATTGCTTCGAACTAGTGAATTATGAGATTGGTGCAACATGAAGCAACATTTGGCACAAAAATTTTCACTGTGGAATCTTGATTTATTTTGTTCATTTTTATATCCCTGAAGATTACACAGGATGTTCCAAAGTATATGATGGTTGCAGGAGAAAGAGCTGCGCTTCGCGGTTTAAATCTTGAGGGTCTACGGCGTAATGGATTCACAGCAGCAGAGGTTTTCATTAATCGATGTTTCATCTTAATAGTATACATTCTTTGTATTTAATTGCATGTCTAAAAGAGCTTCTATTCCTTCGTGCAAGGATCTAGATGAGAAGTCTGAGAACAGCTTACCAAAAGATATTCATGCCTGCTGATGAAAATTTTGGGGGTTTTGAAGAACGTCTTTCTAATGTGGTATCACATTCAACGACTTCTCTACCCTCTGAAATCTAAACTTTTCAATTGTTGGTCAATGGAACTATATTCATTTTGCAGGAGCTTCATGCTGAATTGGCTCATATACCTGCAGTTCGTTCCATGGTGCAGTCTATCTGCGACTCTTTTGAAGGAAAACGACGTGGAATATGTAAATTCAGACATTGGAATGGCTCTTAAAAGCATGTCATAGGTCAGTTTCTTTGCTCTATAAAGATGTTAGTCTATTTGTCTAGGAAGACAATTGTATTGTCAAGAAAGATAACTCTTTGAGGGATATTAAAGTTACCAAAACATCCTCACAAGCATAAGAGAAGAGAAGGAGGGGGGGGGGGGGGTGGTTAAGGCAGAGAGACAGAGAGTTGTACCTATGAATTTTTGTAGTTAATTTGGTTTTCTTTTTCATCTCTACTGCTATTGTAATTACAAAACCGCTGAGGATGTGCTCCGGTATGGTACGAAGAACTTACCAGGCAGCTCGTGGTTGTGCCGAAGCGAATATCTATTTGAATTTTGAAGGAGTCCTTGCATCGGTGAAACAATGTAATACAGAACGAAGTCGCATATGATAACATACTGTAGAAGTGTTAATCTTTTCAACTAGTGAATTGTGTGAAGGAAAGTACTTGTGCAATTTCTTTGAAGTTGGAAAAGACCAACATTTCTTTTAAATTTTGTTAAAGCAGATTGACCTCAAATTCAGAGAGAATGCAAGGAATTTGATAGTTATGTGTTTTCAGTTACATTGGTTTTAAATTTTTTTTTTTTTAACAAACGATATTATCTACACTAAATGAGATGAGGTGGGCTTAGCCTCACAATAAGCTAGCAATAATTTGATTCAAATTCGCCTTTGGCGAGAATCAAACCTAAGACATCTAACTTACAAGTGAAGAGGAATACCATTAGACTGGAGTACTAAGTGGTGGTTTTAATTATTTTAAATATCAAGCTATAATCAACGTTCTAAAAAAGTTACTTTGCACTCAAAATATATAAACACAAGAAAATTTTATACAAGAAGGAAAGCAAGAGGTCATTTTTAAGTGCCAATACCCACACCTTATATAATTAATTTGGATTATTGTGACAAAATGGTCTTTTAAGTTTGCATAACTCACAACTTTGACCCTAGTATTCAAAACCGACCATTGCCGTCCTCCACGTTTTAGTTTGGCCATCAATGTTGCCGTCCTTCACATTTTAGTTGTGCCATCAAGTTGCCGTCGCCGTGATAGTTTTTGTGTTGTATGAAGTTAAGCCATCCATTTGCGGTTTCTGATGTTCAATCCACCAGGCCAGGATAAATTCCTTGTGATCGTGATAACAAAAGGAAGTGATAAAATTGCTGACCAAATTTCGTTCCCAGTCTATTTTAGTACCAGGAGAATCATATGTGTTAGAGAGAATTGACTTCATTTTTCAAAAAACCAGATTTTGGTTTTAAGAATATTTGAACTCTCGTTTCAGTGCGGTCCAAATTACTTGAATTTTCAAGTTTCCTCATCTGCATAGTAAGGTTCCTTCCCAACTTTGACTTGGAAGCAATGACTTGAAATATATTTGGCCACCTCTCTTTGTGGTTGGAACAAAAATATTTTTGTGATCACCAGGTGACCAAAGAATGCATGATTATTCTCTTTCTCAAGGATGAAAAAGTAGTGCTTTTAGCATTTGAATATGGACCCTTAATATCAAATTCAGAAGTAGATTACCATGAATCTTTGGTTACCTGGTGACCAAAGGAACCAGGCTTGTAGTTTTATTTTATTGCATCAATAAATAAATAAATATATAAAAATAAACAACCAAAACAACAACAACAATCAAGTCTTATTCCACTCAATGGGACCAGTTGTATGAATTATAGAACGTCATTACCCTTAATTTTGCGCTATGTCTTATGTTAACTTCAAGTATTCCATATCTTTTATCATTTGTAGTTGCAGCTACGAATACTGGATTATGACATGTGATGTAATCTTTAGCACTAATGGAAAGGTTAATGATAATAATATCAAGATGAGGGGATATGAAAAATTAAAGAGCAGTTGAGATCCTCGGGATTGAATTTGACCCATCTTGAGGCCTTGTCCGTTCTTTTAACCTTTTTTTTCTTCCATATTTGAACCATGTGGAAATTTAAGGGAGGCGGGCCGAGCGCCCCACATCCAATGACACTGATTCCTAACTTGGTAATTATCATATGCTTAATCTATTAGGTATAGAGTTTTATTACAAAAAGTCTTGATATTAGTTGAAATGAGGTAACCTTATTTAAACACTTCTTTCTTCTTCCCTTTGGCCAATGTGGGATAGCCAACAAACTACGGGTAATGCTAAGGATATTGAATTTGTGGACTAAATTTTGTAATCTAAATGTCATGGCAGTTGATGATTGAATGATTACTTAAATGTTGATTAACGTGCTTATTTCTTATTTGTGACACATTATTTAGTTTCCAAATTTAGTCTCCCTAAAATAATCTTTGAACCACTTCAAATGTTGTGCTCCTTTTTCATGTTATTTATCATCAAGAGGCTCGTTCTCTTGGTTACCTTGTGATCAAGAATCCATGGTCATAAGTGCTGAATTTGATATCAAAACTTGAGATTAAACCACTAATTAAAAGCACATGGTTTAAATCACTAATTAAAAGCACATTCATTTAATCTCTAGACTTAATATCAAATCTAATGGTAAATGATCATACATTTTTTATCATCTGTTGACGAGAAAAATATTTTTGTACTTATCAGTGGATGAATGCTAGTTAAACAACCCTAATTCCCCTTTTCCCTTTATAATTTGTTAATACACACCAAAAGCAGATATGGGTAGGTTTTGTACTTCAGCAACTCAGGCTGATGGCCACACTTTAGATATATTTTATGCCATTTATTTTTGATAAAGTTGATGCCTTTTGAGCAATTATGGAACAAACATAATGATTTTCAATCAATCTGCATCAGATTTTGTATAATTTGAACATGATTTAGCAAGCACACCAAAGTTTATAGCTAAAGTTGGGGAGAATTATATATGGAAGACATATATGCTTTAATATTCAATGTGTTCAAGTTGGTACTTCAGAAGTACTTTCATTGAAGCTGAGATCTCAAGCTCACCATTATTCCAGCACTAGCTCATAGACCAGAACCCAAACCACCCTACCCCTTGATAAAGGGGGACAAGTTTAACAATGCAAGGGAATTCAATAAATTAGAGCCCTCAAAATACTTAACTAGGGGTGGAAACATATGTTCTGCATGTGTTTTGAGCAGAAGTAGATGTGAGAAAGTGAGTGACTTAACAACTGTTAATAAACACTTAACGAATCATATTATAAAGATAAAAACTTCTCATGTATCAATTGTTAATGTCGGATACAATGAAAGTTGAGTTCCAGACTTCTTTGTTCTTCAATATAGTTTCAGGATTTTTTTGTTTGAACTATAAAATGGAGTTTTGAGGAATTTATTTGTGAAAAGCACCAATCAAATCACTATTTAATAACATAATAATGTGATAAAACAACACCACATTTTAATACATTGAAGTGTCAATTTATTTGGGTCCTCTTGCAATGATGCAGACAAATTGAGATTTGGCAGAAACGTTAATAATTCAAAAAAAAAAATCACTATAATAAAATTAAAAGGGAGACATTGAGAGGCCTCGCGATCATAGTTAATTGATCAAACAATGATTAACAAAATGGAATATATGAGATTAGAAAAGCAAGTTTCAAGAGATTATAAATATGGTTACTGATCTATATCATCATTTTTCTTACACAATTTTTTACACACATTTCTGTAGTATCTACTTTGTATGTATTTAAATGATCCGAATTGTCTATATTTTAGAACATCATTTATAGATCATCTTTGTAAAAGATGAGACAAATCCAAAATCATGAAGACATTCATTTGTAGTGAATGGATGAATGAATTATACAGTTTTACAAAAAAACCCTAAATTCTTAAACCAACGGTCATATGTTTCATATTTGAGTGATTTTTTGCAGACACAATCTTTGAAGGAATATCTAAAAGATAAACGGTTCAGATCTTTGAAATATATTACGAAATGCACCCCATAAAAATGTGTCAAAAGTTGTGTAAAAACAAGATTAGAAAACTTCCCCAATGACCATTATCCTCTTGTTTCATAAGAGGGAAGATTCCTTTCTACAAACAATGCCAAATACATAAAAATATTAAAATAGTATGAATAAATATTGGAACTTGGAAGCGTTTCATGGTATAGACATAGAAAGGACTAAACAATTCTCAACTTGGCCGCCTCCTCATACATTGGAATATATATTTTTCTCCAACTAGCTTAATTAAAAATCTGAATAATAACCTTAAGACAAAAGTAGTTGGGGTGAGATATATGTCTATCTAATATTTAATTAAATTGTATATACTAAATGATCTCATTGAGTCCCTAACTAGATTTGAAGTACTCGAAATAGTTTACCAATATAGGAAATGGAATATACTATTTCCTTAAATCAAAACTAAGGATTCTAATCTATATATTCTAATCGACAGTTATGGTACCTAAGCTAAAGTCATTAGCCACTAATTATTGATTAATTATATATACACAAATAAATGGGGCAGATCTATGGCATGACTTTTTTACGCAATTTTTTATATACGTTTTTGTGGGACACACTCCGTAATGTAGTTTAACGATTCAAATCGTCTATCTTTTATAACATCATTCATAGATCATCCTTGCAAAAAATTAGACAAATCCAAAACCATTAAGACATTCATTTGTAGTGAAGAAAATGAACGAATACGGTTCTATAAAGAAACTAAACACTTAATCCAACGGTTACGGTCATATGATTTTAGATTGAATAATTTTGATAGACATGACCTTTGGGGAAGACCTAAAAGATAAATAGTTCGGATCATTGAAATACATTACGAAGTATACTTCACAAAAACATGTGTAAAAAATTGTCTAAAAAAATGGTGTCACTAATACGAAATGTAAACTGTAGTATTGTAGTGTTCTTTATCTTAGATTCAAGGATAAAGAGAGAGTTAGGTAAGACTTGATAGCTTAGATGATTTAGATATATAAATTTAGATTGATCATATAGATTTGTGGTGATTTGGATTGCTTTGGAGTTTGAAATCAGATTATTGTGATTGTGATCATAATCAAATCATTAATTTGTAGTTCAATCTTTTTGAACATTTTGGTCCAATAATCTGAATGGTTGAATCAAGAGGGCATGATATTTTGGTTTCTTCTTCCCTAAGATATTGGTATTAGTCTCTTAATGCGTAACATTTAAGCATGTATATAGTTGTTGACTTATCACAAAGAACCTAACATCCTCAATTTTTGGTGGAACTAACTATGAAGTTACTGAAATGTATATTATATGAATTGAAAGGATGAATGATATTGTCTCTGTGTTTTTTCCCTGTTCGATCTCTTTGACTGTATGGAATGTTGTTTCTCTATGAGTTAATTTCCTAATAAACTGCAACATGGGCTGATCAACATATAAACTTTCGAAGGGGGTTTCCTTTTCTGTGATATTTCTCATCAACCTACTTCCAAGATATTGTTAATTTCCTAAGCCAATTATAGTATCTTCCTAACTCGTAGCAAATTAATCATTTACACAATAATACATATAAATGAATATAGTTTGGATATTTCAAGTTCGACTACTTTTGTCTTATT